TTTTTTTGCATCATTTTTTTAAAATTTGAAAATTACATTTTGCAAATATTTGGGGAGACATTGATTTTTTTCTCCCCGTGCTCCCCCGTTCTTCCCTGCGGAGTGCGCTGCGCCGCCCAGCCCTGTCGCCCCCCGGAGGTGATCCCTCCCTCCTGCCTGCCCGCCAGCCTGACCTGTGCCCGGCTCGCGGGCCGCAGTCTCGGCCCCGGCGCGCCCCCGGCAGCTCTCGGCGCGATGAGCATAGAGACGCTACTGGAGGCGGCCCGCTTCCTGGAATGGCAAGCGCAGCAACAACAGAGAGCACGTGGTGAGAGGCCGGGCTGGGCCCCTGGGGCACCGGGGGAAGGGGAGGCGAGCGACCCCAGTCCCCGAGCCCACGCGAAACCGCGGGCAAGCCCCCCTTCCGGGCAGCCCGCGAAGCTGGACAGTGCAAGGCTCCGCGTAAGAGCCGCCGCCCGGGGAGGAGTGTTGTGAGCATTGAAATTAATTAATGAATTCATTAACATGCAGCGAAGGGACCCGGCTCCTGTGGGCGCCACCCCAACTGCCTGCCACCCCCTTGTACACCTTTCGTGGGGGGTTCCTTTCGCGTGGGCCAGCGGCTCCCTCAGTAGGGCTGAGGATGTGCGAGCCGGGGGGATGCGGTGAGGAATGGTACTGCGTGGGGCAGACAGACCCGCGCGTGTGTGCACTGGAGATGTGTGATGCAAGCCTCGATGAGAGCGGATGAACGGTCGTGTACACGGGCGAGCGTCTAGTGCACACGAGTGGGCGTGTGTGTAACGGAGTAGGGGGTGGAATTACTCTACGCGGAGCAGCTCCCCGGCTTCCCTGGCCCTGTGGAGAGGGTGCGGGGGGGGGGCGCTCCCGGCAGATCTACGCGCCGCTTGGGGCGGAGGCGGCCTTTGCAGAATGAAATGACATCGCGTGTCTTATGATCCTGGCCAGCCCCGCCTGACCCCGCCTCCCAGAGCTGGGCTGGGTCGCATCAGGGGTTTGGGTGAGAGCTGGGCTGATTGGGTATTTGTGAAACGGCTTGCACATCGCCAGGGGCAGCCCCTAGGCCCCCCTTTGCTGCGCCCCACTTTAGCCGGTGTGGAATGTGGCGTGTCTGCGCGTTCCAAACCCGCTCTCGGCTGGAATGTTGCGTGTGCCTGCGTTCCAAGCCAGTTGGTTACACCGGGTGGTGACGTGGACTGGCTCCGCCCCCGACCACGTGCACGGGGGACACTCCCGCTGGGGACTGCACGGCCCGGCCCCTCCCTGCTGCCTCGCGCTCGGCCGGGGGCGGGGCCTGGGCGGGGCTGGCTAGGGGCTTTGCGCTGGGTTGGGCCCTGGGTCTGGTCGCTGGGCATCTCCCTGGGAGAGCGTCTGACCTGCGAGGGAGGAGCCGAGCTCACCTGTAGGTTGTCGCCCCTACCTCCTGTTTCTGATCCTCGGGCGAGGGAAACCCTCAGAATCGCCGAACGACTGGACATTTAGAGCTCACACACTCCCCTTGACCCCTTAAACGTTCTTATCAAGATCTCCTGGCAGCACTCCAGGCTACAATGTGGCATGAGCCAGGTTGAGAAAGGGCAAACTTTGGCGTTCCCTTGACAGGGAGAGACGGAGCTTTCAGATGCCCCCTGTCCCCATGCGCTCTTATTGGTGGCCCCCAGCTTAAGGATGCTGCAGAAATAGGGGCTGGCAGAGGACCTCTGTTTTCCAGATTGCTGTGAGGGTCGCAGCCCTGGATCGGCCTGTGTGCAGTATCCGGGGACTGTTGTCCCTTTCAACCCTCCCCCAGCCCTTCGGCTGGGTCGGTTGTGGTGGGGAGAGCGCTTCGCTCTCCTTTCCTTTCTCTCTGCCTATTGTTGCTTCAATGATGAGTCATGCAGGAGGTAGTAGT